TTTTTTTAAATTTTAAATGTCTACGTGAAAATTTGAAAAATGTAACCCACTTCTGTTGTCCAAATTGCCTTTTATCCTTTCTTTTCTCAATGTCACGTCCATTCACTTGCCCAACCCAACCCTACCCTTTTTTTTAATATTTATTTATTTTGTGTTGTCTCGAGGTATAAAATTAATTTAAATCATAACGTAATTTAGTTAAATGGGCGTGGAAAATGAACAAAGTATATGTTAATTGACATTTTTTTTTTTATAATTTTTTGGATGGGCAGCCAATTGTGGAGGGTAAATTATTGCTCAAGTCGCTTTCTTTATGAATTGGAGTGGCTAAGGAAGGGTAGGGAGTTAGCAGTCTTTTTCCTCGCTCAGTCTTGTAGTAAATATATATGAAATGACTCCATGAAATGCAAGTTTGTGGCTGCTGAATCACCACCCATGCCCTTTGCCCTCGGGGAGGCTGTTGAAAAGTCCGCCTTATACTGTCGTGTTACTTTACTCTCACTTATTGGTACGATATTATCTACTTTAATTCGCATTATAATTCCACGAAACGACCTATGTTTAGAGATATTTCTCCAACTACACAGGTTAGAATTTAAAATCTCGATTGGAAGATCCGAGGATAGTTAGTTTTTGACATATACAACTCCAACGTTGCTTTTTCCAAGTTGAGAATTGAAAAAGAAAAATATATGTTGTATATGTGATTGAGATTGATTGGAATTGTGATTCTTTTTTGGTATCCTCCAATCAGTTAATTTTGATCTCTCTTCTCTTTTGCTTTTATTTTGTTTCCACTTATGTGTATTATTCCTTCTGTAATCAGAGTCATAGCCACCGGCGCAGGCACATAAAGGATAGAGCTTTGGGTGTGACACAAATCTAAGAAGGAAACTCGCACATCACACATCATTTCAAATTTCAATCGAAAATAATAATTTAAAAAACGCATTCCATTTTCCTCCAACAAAAACACACGATATAAATATTTTCATAGATGAACCAAGTGATATATTTTATCATATGCTGCAACTGCATACGTCCAAAGGGCATCGAAGAAGCCGCAGCAGCGAGAGAAAGCGTGAGACCAGACCCCAACAGGCCACACCAAACAATGGGGGAAAAAGAGAGAGTGCCGTATGCCGAACAGTGCGTTGAATTTAATTTTGTTTTAGTGTAGAGTCGAATTCAGGACCTCTTAATTGGAAATATATGTCAACCATGAACTATTTGTTGGCAAAATTTAATCATTAACCTTCTATCTCACTTAAAAATTACCACAATAATCAATTAAGAGATTATATGCTAAAGTATACTTTTAATTGATGGTTAATGGTTTAGTCTCTAACTTTGGTGGGTATTAATTAGTGAAAGATCTCTTTATTATATAACGATTTAGTTATTGTAATTTATAAATATATTTGGTTCTTCATTAGTTTATCAATCTACATATATTTAAAATTTAACGTAAGTTTTTACGATATATAGGAATTAAATCGTTACAAAATTTAAACTACAATGACTAAATTTTAATTATCTTTATAGTTCAACGACTATATTGCTACTAATTTGAAAGTATATAGACTAAATTGTTACAAACTAAACTCCAATGACTAATGACTAATGAAAATATAGGGACCAAAAGTCCTTATCAATTTATTAATTAGTGGAAAAAATGATATTACAATACAATATCTCATACTCTAATCTCATGTTATGATAATATTTAATTATTAATTAGCCTTCTTAAAACTCCACTTGACTTCAGTTGGAAATTAGCACCAAGCATAGCAAGTGATTATAATGATAAAAGAAATGACATTATAACGTTTCAAAAGCGCAGCTTAATGTGATAGGTTACCACCATAAACTTAGTACAACTTTAATTTTTATTGATGTATTGTTTCATTAAGATTAAATTTAAATTGCAACGTCATTTTCTTGTTCCCGAATGGTCATCTTCAAATTTTTTTAGGTTTATGATTAGCAAGACGTACTTCTTCTACTCGTGGGATCCGGGCGATATTGGAGGACCACCTCAACTCCTCTCTTCTTGAGAATCCAAAATGTAAAAGAATGAGAATTATGTTGAAACTAGCATGTTAGAAAATCAATCGGCCAAAATAATCATAAGTAGCTACAATATTATAAGTTTCTTCCTCCTACCAATAGCATCGATTAGAACGGAACGAAAATGACATTAAAATAAATTGAAACACATGAACGCTAGTTAGAATTCAAAAGATGAAGCTAACGAGGTGATGAAATAAATTGCATGAGGAAACCATAGAATTAATATTGAAGGTGAGGGCAGGC